AATTTTTAGCTTTAAGCCGTAATAATGTATTAATTTTTCTTTGAATTCAATTAATTTACTCATATTTTTTAAAAAACCATCCCGACCTTAGCTCTTATCTAAAAATTTTTCTAATAATTAAAAACCCTTTTATAAAAAACACACGATCTAAGCTACATACGTACTAATGTTTCTGAAAGTTTCAAGGTCGTAGCACCTCTCTATGAGAAGATATAGGTGTGGGGAAACTTTTGTCGGGCACTGTAGATATAAGTAAAGAAAAAACCTGTAAATAATGCTTTTGAATATTTAGTTTTAATATATCTTAAGCAATAGAATACTTAAGATTCAATATCATTCGAATCGTCTCACGATTCAAATAAGATTGAAATCTTAAGTATTCAATTACTTTTATTAAAGGTAAATATTCTAAAAGCATGATTTACAAGTTTTTTTCTTTCAGTCACTCATACAATATATTTTTTTTTAAAAAGTCAATGGATAGGTTATTTTAGAATTTTAATGTTATAAAAACAAAAAAATTGATTTTACATTGCCTAATTATAACAGATGTTTGATAAGTTTCTAGCCGGGATCTTTTTGTTAATTACTTAAAAGTTTCTTTTTACTAATAAAAAACGTAATGTTTCCGATAATCAAAGTGGTTAACAAAAAGGTTATTCATAATTTTAATACCTTTATCGGATTTATCAGTTTTTTTATAATTTTCTCATTTTAAAATGATTTGCCTATTGTTTTGATAGAGTTTTGTAAATACATTTATACTATATTTTTTAACATCTCATCGTCTTTACCTCTGCAATCTTTATACTTATTTAATAAGGTTAAAGACAAGTCCATAAAGGATATCCATGATGTTCATACCAACTCTGATGTATAAACTACAAAAGCCAATTGTTTTGTTAATCGTGAATTGTTATATAAAGATTCAAAATGATGGATTTGCTTACTTGTTTGGAAGCTCTGAATATTACCTACGGGTGGTTGTATATTTTAACCATGCGGCGAGAACTTTATTAATATCCACAGCACTTCAGTTGACCTTAGCGATTACTATTTGAATAAATAATAATTACTACCATGATATTAAATATTAGAAATTTATTGAATGCAAGCAGAATTATTTTTTTCATGGAAAATGTTTAGGCATGATACTTACGTATATTAAACTCATTTGCATTTTCTTAACCTGCAATCTTAAAAAGGAAACAGCAAATCCTATTCAACCCTCAGTACGTAATTAGCTTCTTTTTTTTTTTAACTGTTGCTCATCGCAAAATAAATATAATTCAAGTTTTTTTTTTTTATTTTTTTTTTATTTTATTGCAACCAGTTTACTAAAGTTCGTAACAAAATGAAAAAAAACATCGTTTATACTATATCGGGTACAACTTTTAACGGTAGACATAAATCCCATCCGTGCTTATTTAGTTAATGCTGCTTTTTTTTTTTACTGATTAGATTCACTGAACTAATATTACGGTATGTTGAGATCCACCACCAATTGCCAAGATAGACCGCCCTGCAAGTCTTTCACCAGATAGTAAATATGGGTCCTTTTTCTCTTCGTCACCACTTCCAAATGGTTCTCCAAACCCCCATGAATACAATTTACCATCCCTGCTAACTGCAATTGAATGGTAATCTCCCGTTGCGATGAATTTACACGGAACAAAGTTATTAATTTTAGTTGGTGTAGTAACTTTTTGTCCTATTCTTTGTTGAGCATTATCTTCATCGTCTTGATCCACAACATCACCTATTCCTAATTGTCCATAGTCAGCCCGGCCAAAACTATATATCGACCCATCCTCTAAAAGCACCAACGTATGATGCTCTCCTGCTGCAATTTGTTGTACCTTTGGCAGATTTTCGAAAAAATTAATTTTTTTTGGTTGCGTGATATATTCGTCACGTGTTTCTATTCCACACTGACCGTAGTTATTCATACCCCAGGCATAAACAGTTCCTCTTTCTGCAACTGCAAAACTATGATATGAACCTGCAAAGATTTTCTCAATGCCTTTGACTGCGATTTTTTCTGGATTCAAACCATCTCGAACATGACGCGCCAAAACTCTTCTCCCAAGCTGATGGGCATCTCCACTTCCCCAGGCATATAAAAAACCCTCAGTAGTTAATAACAATGCATGATCCGTTCCAGTTGCTATATCAGCGATCTTGAATTTGTTAGTTGAGTCATATTTTATAAACGTCGACTGTTGGAGAAGTGTTTTCTCCTTAGCGAAGAATCCCAAAACACCGTTTTTGTCCTGCAATGCAATAACGTATTAAAATATGTTGCCACTAACACAACACCAGACTTCACACTCATGTGATTTTCCGACATTAAAAATCAGGATCAGGTGTGACGTTAAACAAAAACGTTCGCCTTGTAAAAATCGCGCTTATTTCAAAATTTAGACTAGTAAATCGTTTTTGTGATTCTAACACAAAATTTTTCTCGTACGATTTTGCTATATTATTGCCCTTTATAACCCCGTTTCATACCCGAACCCTAACATAAATTATTTTTTTATTTTATTATTATTATTATTTTTTTTTTTGCTATATTATAGCCTTTTATAACCCCATTTTATACCCGAACCCTAACATAAATTAATTTCTTTGGCTATTGACTTCAGAAAATCACGTGAACAGAAAATCGATCATATGCCTGTCAATTTGTTAGACTACCAAAAATTAACATACCTTGAATGTCCCAGCCATGTACATTTGACCATCGTCTGTTAAAGCCAACGTAATGTTACCACCACACGCTACTTTTACTATGGTAACTTCATCAAGACCTTGTGCATAGCCAGGTATGTTCTCTCTACCTACATTTGGTGGTAATTCTTTGTCGTCTTCGTCACTGGTTTCCCTCCCCAATGCGCCTACAATTATTTAAAATTAATTTCATCCCTATATTTGGTTATTAAATTTAATATAATAAAAACGTACCATGATCGTTGCATCCCCAAGTGACAACCTGAATAAAAAGATTTTTTGTTATTTTTTCAAGCTATTTAAAATTTTAATTATGATTAAAAGATAATAAATCGCGTAAGTAACCTTTCCATCACGAGTCAAAGCCGCGGTGTGGAGACACCCTACACTAATGTCTACTATCCTGAAATCATCAAGATCCTGAATGCAAACAGGTTTTAAAGCTTCTTCTGTATCGACTAAGCCCAACTGTCCTACATCATTATTGCCAATAACAAGAACAGAGGTAGTCCCCGAACCACGATCAACAATTGTAGGGGTTTGAACGTCTATAGCGAACTTACTACGATATCTAGGTGTACGAGGTGGCATGAAAGAGTCCCGAGAGTCACGTACATTTACTCTATCAAGACTTCGTTGTAAAAAGTCCATTTGTGAATCCTGTGAATCTTGAATTCCTAGTCTGGGTGAGCTTTGTGGACTTTCAACATTAGCTGACCTTGATTTATCGATTTGCATCAAATCTTCTTCAGTATCTGCAGCTACGTGTTCTTGTTCACGTTTTCCGTATGTATTTAGAGTTTGAGAAGCTGAAAGCGGCCTCCCACGTCCTAACAAGAAAATTTCATTAAGGATATATTGTAATGTTATGTACAAAAGCGACAGTGATCAGGATAGTAACCTCTAGCTGATTTACTCGCAGAATTAGATTCAGCCGAAGTAGAAGTAGTTCTAGTTCTTTTAATTGGCATCTTAGTTTATATTGACTTTTTTTCCAAGAAATTATGTATAGGATTTATGTACAGTCTACTGCGTCTATTGTCGTTTTTTTTTTTTTGTAAACTGTTAAAGGCGCAACCATATTTAAATCTTTAATTGCGTCATTTGATTGGCCGAACTTTTGGCGATTGTACGTGATGCAATGCATAAAATACGAGAAGCGTAGCCTATTGTTGCATCTTAAGCCAAATCAAAATTCCTGCAGAATTCTGGACACCCTAGTCATTATACACGTCCCTTTTTTTTTTTTTTTTAAGTGACCTGATGATTATTCATGCAAAATATGTACTTTTTGCACACGCAAGTATATGTAAGGTCACTTAAAAGAGGGACACGTATAGTGATTCTTGAACTTGTTTATTACTTGAACCGGAAACCGATATAAGTCTGGACCTAAAATTTTTACATATCAATATAGAAATTTATTTTATTTTATATATCCCTTAAACTGTATAGTGTGTATATTTGTAAGCTAAAATTTTAGACCTATTTTTGTGCATTTCTTGATCTTATCTCCTAAGCTTAAATAAATGTTAAACACCATACAATCTATATTTTACGGAGCCTTCTTAACATAGTAAATTGACTTGGTAAAAAAAAAATTGATCGATGATTAATCAAAAATTTTTTTGCTTGATCGAAGAACGTTACAGTAGTGATATAGAGCACTCAGGGCAACACCATCAAAATGTCACTTTCACATGACCAAGTGTGGCGTACCACCAGGGACAGCTACCTAAAATGTGAAAAACTCTCAGACCCGGGCGATGCTCCGGGGGTGTGGTCTTAATTTTTTTCTTTTTTTTTTTTTAAATCTTAAAGGTGAGGCCATGGTCTTAATTTTTTTGTTTTTTAAGTTTTTTTAAATTTTAGTTTTTTAATTAAT